TTTGTTATTATTTTTATTTCTTTTGGAGCGATTGTCGCGTAAAACAAAAATGACGTGCTCACAACTACAGCAGGAAAACACCTTGGAAGCAACCGTGGGACATTCAAGAATATAGCATATAACTTGTTGTTTTTCTTCTTTTGAATAAGAAAACGAATGAGTGGAAATGTACTCAAATAACAAAAACTTCAGCCAACACTAAGTTTACGCGAAAAACTTCAGCTAAAACATGCTGAAGTTCAGCAAATAGAGAATAAAACTTCAGCTAGTAGAATGCTTAAGTTCAGCAATTACAAATAACTTCAGGCCCGTCTACCAGAAGTTTACGCGAAAAGTAGGTACGCTTACAATTTTTTTTGCAAAACGAGTATAAATTAAAACGTGACCCAAAAAGCGAGTATAGATGCAAATCCCCATTAAAGACCTATGTTTGATACTTTGTTTATTTTGTTGGGCCTGAGACACACAGGTTGTATCTCATAAGGGCAATGACGAAAATGGCCCTTATATTTGTAGTTGTCCCTTACATATTTTTTTGTTTTAGTCTATTAAGTTTATCAAAAGTGAGCACATTTTTTCCTTGTGTTGAAATTTAACTGGAACTGTGGAAAACAAAAACGAAAATTTAATGGAAACTCACATTTGGAGGTGTAGTTTTGACAATTTTTGCTATTTTGGTCTATTTTTGTGTCAGTGAAGTTTTTTTCAGGTGTGGTTTTTGCTATTTTTGGTCTACTTTTTGTGTATGGTGCAGTTTTTGGTGTTCCAATTTTTAAAATTTGGCGGAACTTTCCAATCTTTCTGATTAAATCTTATTTATAGTTCATGTTAAATTGAATAGCTAGAGCTTGTCAAAGATTTGACAGCCAAAAGTGCTCACTTTTGAAAAATTTAAAGGCGTCCGCAGTACATCTAATTAAGGGATTATTTTTTATCTGCTTTCAAACATAAGGGACCATTTGTGTCATTTTTTCTATCTCATAAGCAATTTGACATCATTTCTCGTTTTGATGGAGATAAAGTGCGGAAAAATGGATAAAATAAAGATCCCATGGATGGAAATGAAATGAGAGAGGAAATCAATGTTGAGAAAAATTTTAATGTATTTTTTGGGCATTTAATTAGCTTAGTTCAGTTCCAAATATCCATGACATATTAGACAACGGTTAACAATAACTCAATAAGTAACAATATATTTCGTTGTTAAATCTATATATTCCCTTCGATCTATATTAGTTGTCGAGTTTCCTTTTTATATGTCCCTTAAGAAATCTATATCTATATATAATATAAAGCTAGGCATAGACAAGATGATGTGGCACCTCTCTATGGCCTAGAAGATCATTTATTTTTTTTCTCCTTTTTTTGATTTTTTTTGGCTTTTTGTCTAATTCTTTTAATAACAAATTCAATATATTTCTCCCATATTCTTCATTAATGACACTTATTGCTAATGAGCAATCACTACATACGTTCAAATATTAAAACAAAATGAGGCCCATCTTAAGTGCAGCTACCGTTACAATCCCATCATTATGCTCCCAAGTTTTTTCTTTTTCAATTCTTTAAAGTTGCTATGAGAGAGCGCATTGGAGTCCAAGACAACCAAATCTAAAGTGAACAGATGCATATTTTCAATCAAGAAGTTGTCCCAATTGAAAACATCGTTATATTGGAGAGTACGTAATCCTACAAATCTTGATTTTCATGTATAAGGTTTCATGGATATGTGGGCGTTAATTTATCTCATGTGAATTTTTTGTTGGAAGATGCAAAAGGTTTACCTCAACTGGACAAGTAGAAACTCCCTCTACAAGAAGAAGATATGAAAAATGTAATTTTTCTTTTAAATTAATGTGCATATGCTTTGTAGGAAAGAATGATGTATAGGCTTACTATTTGTCTCTTTTTTCGATAGTTTCTTTGCTAAACGTGAATGGTTAGAGGTTTGGTTGATATCCCCTCGAACATAAGTAACATTTTTTATTTATCGACATGTATGAGTCAAGCATATCCCCTCCCCCAGACCCACATCAAAGAGATGACAACCTAAGTAAGGTAATGGCTTATTATAGAAAAAAGGTTGGAGCCATAAATTACAACAGAAAATCTAGCAGGTATTTTTTTTTTGGTTTGTAATTAGACCATACTTTATTCCTAATCTGTTTCTAAATAATGCTTACCCGTTTTGTTTAATTCTATGGATTTCTATAATAAGTCAAGAAAATTTCTAATTATACAAAGGTACAATTCTGCTCTTAAGTTTTATCGTTGTTTGCTAATTTTATAGGACTCGTATTGCCCTATCCAGTATAAATGTGTACTAATTTTCAAAGTAGTGTTTCCTTTGATTCGTTTAAAAATTTTGTTTTCTAAATTTAATTATCTTATTTTTCACTTTAAAGTGTTTATATCATTGCTGTTCTTTTTCTCATGTTGTGTACGTTTCACGAGCGTTGCAGTAGAGACTACAGTGTCACAACATAACCTTTTCGGACATAGGACTGTTCAAATGACTCGGTGTTACATTCTTTCTATATTCACTTATGTTCTTGAATTTTATTTGAATCTCATTCTTTAGCTGGGTTTTTTTAGTCTTCAATAACTAGAATATATATCTTGAAGTTTCACAATGATGTATCTCAGGTACTTCAAATTAACAAATATAGTTTTAGTTTAGAACTGGGTTATTTATCACTTGTATGAGATGTTGATATTTTGTTGTTGTATGTGGGCAAGTAAAAGATATGTGAATTAGACTTTGGTAAATTTATTTACTTAGCATAGTTTATCTTCATATATATCAACTACCTCTTTTCCAAATATATCTTAATATTTTTTAGACTTTAAATTTTTTGACATATAAACGGATGGTCTTATTTTGACAAGACAAGTTATTAACTTGTGTTAAAATACTGCATTATATTGTATTATTTGATGAACACAATGTTTGGATAGATCGTATTGTTTGCCGTCGTTTCATGATGCCACGCATTAACAATATGAAGAATAAACTTGTAATATTACAAAAAAAAACCAGGATAAGGAGTAGAATTATTATATAAAAAAAGTAGGGTAAATGAAAAAATATAATTATTTAATAATAAGGAAGGGCAAGATGAGAGAGAGAAAAAAAAAAAGCAAAGAAAAATACAATAAAATTTAAGTAATAATCAAAACAAACATTGCATTTAAAGTAACAATACGATATGATACAATAAGTAACAACCATCCAAAAAAGCGGTAAGAGCCGCTTCATAGGCTTTTTGTGCTAATTAAAATAAATTAATTTTAAAGTGTTTGGGAAAACTGTAAAGTTGCTCTACTTCATACAATTTAAATCTCCTTGACGCAGTATGAGATCATGCATTATTTATAAATCGATGTGTTAAACTATATATAGTGTGTGTGTATATATAAAGTTGGACATAGAAAAGGTGATGTGATATCTCTTCTAAGGTCATCATTTTTACTTATCCTTTTCTCATATTTTTTTTGCAATTTCACTCCATTCTTTCTATTTAATTATTTTTAAAAAAAATCCAAAATCTATGTATTAGTAAAGAAACAATCGGTTAGAAAATTCAAAAGTCATTATCAAAAGTTACAACCATTATTTATAGTCCAAAAGTCTATAGGTATGCTTTACTAAAAGTTATAACCGTTGCTAATATTAATAACCATTATTAGTATCTTTAAATTAGACCCATTTTTATTATGATTTATGGATCATTATTCATTATGCATGATTTGTTTTCCTCCTTATTAGAAAAGAGCAAGTGATAACGGTTTAACTTTAAGCCTTTGAATTTTAGAATTCTCATCATCTCAAGGTTGAAAATGAAATCATCTGTAGATGTTTTTGCTTTGATATCTTTTAATCCAACAGGTTATTTGTTAATGATATCAACCTGATTTATGTTTGAAGGAGGCTAGGGGACAACCAGAGACACTACAAGAAATCAAACTTTTTTGCAGCGACTAAAATCGCCACTAAATATCATAAAGTCGCCACATAAACATTTAGTGGCGACTACAGGGTTACTGCAAAGTAAACCCGTAACTAAATGTTCTTTGTAACGACTCCTTGGGGTCGCCACAAAAAATGCACATATGTGGCGACTTTACTCGCCCCAAAAAGTAAGGAAAAGTTCGCCAAAAGACTGTTAGGTCGCTACAGATGAAGACTTTAGTGGCGACTATACTAAAAACTGTAACACTTTCAATGGTAACTCTTAATTGCCACAATTTCCTGGGTTTAGTGACGACCATAGTCGCCACCAATTGTATTTGTCTTTTTAAAAAAAAATAGCTGCAACAATATTACTACCAATATTGCACAAAGGTAATAGGGCAACTCATCAACATTAGAAGAGACAACAGTAAAGACATTTATCAAACAAAATAACATAGGAAATTTTTAATAAAAATTCATAACATGTTGTAATTGTGCATAAACATGAAAACAAAAGGCAAAATAAGATGTCTTCAAGTTTCGCCTTTGCTAGCATCATTTTCTCTTGAAGTCCTGAGACGCGGCATACAAGCCCAAGCCTCACTATATATGCCCAATAAAAATCTAAAGGTCGTTCAAGTCAGGTATATGCTTATCTAAAATCTACATACCTGAAAAAATGAAATTGAATAGCTTGTCATTACATATATCTATCACAGAAAACTAAACGTCTTTTCTGCCAATTTCCTTTCATAACGACCACAATAAAGCTCATTCATGAATAAATTGTCAACAATGAAGTAATAAAAATAATTACATGTCAATGAAAAAAGCTTTATTAGAAACACAACAGAAGAACATTTATCTTTTACATTAAATTATTATAGCATTTTTCTGTTTAGTTTTAATTAGAGTAACTACGTTTTGCAGTGCATAGCAATATGTTCAAGGACAACAGGCCTTCTAGTGCCACATTCTCCTGAAACAATCTAGCTAATAAAAAATATTTTTGATAATATGAATGAATAGATAAAAAAAAAATTATAACGCCTGGGTAACTGAAGATTGGTTAGGAGTAGATCCATACCTTCTATTTCTTCCTTACTCTTCATTTCAAGTTTCAATTTAGATTTACAAGCATTAGGAACAATTTTCCTTTGAGATTCAACAAGAGACTTAAAGATGTAAGCTTAAAAAGTTTGTCAAACTATCTGGCAAGACCAAATTTATCAAGTATGATTGTTGTGGCATGTAGGGGTCCAACTAAACAAGACACTTCAAATATGTAGAATTAACCAACTACTGTTTGAAAGCCACACTTTCTAACAAAGTATTACAAAAATATATATGTGCACTCATGCATAACAGTTATCTTTAAGAAAAAGTCAAATTAGAAAAATAAGAACACGCTCAATAACATAAAGAGAGAACTAAGAAATGTAACAAAACTCTTGGTTTTCACGATAATGGAGGTGTTATATGTTTAAGAGTCCTGATAAATGGAGCAAACCGAAAAAATCATAATCAGCGGATGCATCTATATTTTATCTAATTACTAAAGTGAGCCACTAAATTTTAACAGAAGAAAAACAAGGGAGAAAAGGTTCGACAAGATAGTGCTAGGAACTATGTACTAAAATGGTTCATACTTGTCAAGCAGCCAATAATATATCACAACAAAATTGGGTTATCTTCTCCATATGCATAGTAATATGAATTTGTTCTCATTACCAACCTACACTAAGAAACAAAAATAATTGCAAACTTCACCTCAAGGTCTTGAAAATCACATATAGCATTAACTAGGAAGAGAGCACATCCTTCTTATGAGTAGAAAAGAGAAAAGAAAGAAAAACAAGGCAGCGAGAAGAAAATAGAAACAACAAATGTATATCTAAACCATTCTAACATCAGTACATCATCAAAGATCCAAATCTAGAAACACATTGTGGAGGCCATAATTTTCCCTGTCGTGCCACTGGAATTACTCTATAACAAAATGAAAAAGAACAAAGAAAACACTCTAGATGGAGGAAAAAAGGATAATGTATAACCAGATGGAAGGACTAACTCCAACATACACAAAAAAGCAACAAAAATAGCAGGTTCATTTTACTAGAACATCTTCAAAAAATCAAAAGAAAAATTACTATAAGAACATCTTCACAAACAAAGAAGACACTCTAGATGGAGCAAAAAAGGTATAATGTATAACCAGATGGAGGATTTATACTTTGATATGCTCCACAAAATCATATTCCACTCTTTCCTTGGATTTGATCTAGCTCGAATGAAGCTATTGATGCAGCAACTGACGGTAAAGGGTGGCCCGTGGTCCACTTAAGCATTGTATGCTCAGGTGTGTGAGGAGGATTAAGAGCTACACAATAAGGCCGCGCTGTCTCACCAAGATTCTGAAGGTTTACTTTCAAAGAAAAGAGGCCAGTTAATAAGAGAAAAGACTTTTGTGCTGAAGAACATTACAAATGGTTCTGATGCATCGCATACCTGGAGTATATTGAGGCAATATGTCACGCATGTTTTATCGTTCATTGTTCCAAGAAAATTTCATGCACTTCATGCTGCTGGGTTGCGATGCAGGAAAGTTGTCACAGTGAAGGTAATATTACTGTCGTAGAGGAATAGAAATGAGTGTTCATTTTGACATCATAAAATCTTTGTAACACTATGGTTTAAAATACCAACTCACTTCTTTCAAACAAAGCAGCAAGAGAAGAAATTCTAAGAATTTATCAAGAATATACATTCTCTTCAACATTATATTCAGCATTTTGCACGGTGTTCATGAGTAGAATTCATTCACTAATTTCAGAGGCAGTTGCTAACTCTATTTCTACCTTCAAAAAGCACTTTCAGATTAACCTTAGAAATTTAGTCGGTTGAGTTGTTAACCAATATATAACAAAATGGCAAATTTGAGAAGAAATCACTAGATCGAATGAAATTGCGATTATGATAATTCTTACCACCTGAACTTGCTCCGACATTGAACCAACAGAACATATTAATGAGAACTAATACTGAAACAATAACAAAAATTAGTAATCACTTGTTTCTCAACATAAAACTAACTGAAGCTTACCTAATGAAAGAAAGTAGCATCGAACAGAGAAACAACAAAAAATTAGACCCTCAGTAGTTAATACCCTCACTGACTGGAGCACAAATAAGCTCTTTTCCTTGAAACTAAATGAGAAATTCTACTTTTGCTTTGCAAAAGCCTGAATTCTTTACCTTTTTTTTTCCTTTTCTTCTAAACATATATGAATCTAAAACTTATATGTACAGTAGAACATAAATCAAAACAAAAAATTAAACCATTAAAATAGGAATTGAGGAAAATCACTACACTCCTAAGCATGCATTAACTCTAGCAAACGGTAAAGAGAAGAAAAACTTGAAATATCGAAATTAAGCATGCATTCTCGAAAAATAGTTTACCTTTACCCTTAGCAAACGATTTAAAAGAGGGATTTGGGAAACAAGGATTACCACATAAAAGTATTGGGGGAAAGAGGCATTACCAGCCGATGAAGAGACCTCACTTTGTCCTAATTCGTGGAGAGAGTTATGAGAGAGACTGATGGAGACTAAAATTTTTGGCCTAAAATTTTGTTATTCGCGGGAGTCAAAAATTTTCACCTAGAGTGGCATGTACTAGCAGCGACTCCTTAAAATCTGCCACTGATTGTGGAACTTCTGTAGCGACTTGACTTGTCGCTGCTAAAACTGCAACTTTCAGCGGCAATTAGATTAATCGCCACTAAATCCTTAATTTTAGGTGCGACTTCTATTTGTCGCCACTAAAAGTACCTTTTCTTGTAGTGGGAGGAGGAAAGTTTGAAAAAAATATATAAGTAGAAAAACTAATTCGATTTTTTAAATATTAATATATTCATATAAGATGAAGTGGGGAGTACTTTAGATTGAATGCGTGGATTAAATGTCTATACCTCCATTTTATATATGATAATGATTTTTTTTTTTGTATTTTCCATTTTCTTCCATTAAATCTATGATTTTAGTATTTATAAAAAAAATTATTTTTATAATCGCGAGCAAGTACGCTAGTTATATATTAATAGAAGGGGTTTTGACTACACTATCCTTACTTATACGCTTAAATCTTAATCATTCAACATATTAGTCTCTCTTCAACAAATTGTTCTCTTTATTTATGTGCCTTATCGGTCAATAAAATACTCACTTTAATATGTGCAAGTCGGCTGATGCAAATGAAAGACTTCACTGGCCATGTTGCACCAAAACGTTGCAAACTAAGTATGCAAATTGAACGTTTTCTAAATTGAGCTCTTATATTTGAATCTTCAACTTTCTCCAATTGGTCTTCAACTATTTTCATTGAATCTTCAACTTTAATATTCTCTAAACCTTCTAAATTTTTAACTTCTTTAGCAGAATCTTCAACTTCAATGCTTACTGTAGCTTCAACTTACGAATCAGCTTTAGTACTCTCTCCATATTTTTGTTAAGTATATTTCATAGTAATGGAATTTGTTTTAACCTCATATAAGATATTGAAATATATAGGGAATAGTTAAGATCTGAATCAATTAAATGCATTCACAAGAATAGTAATGGATTTGACTAAGAGTGTGGGGTGGGTGGGGTGATANTGTACGCAGACCTTACCCCTATCCCGGAAGGGGGGTAGAGAGGCTGTTTCCGATAGACCCTCAGCTAAGAGACAATAAATTTGTGACAACAAAAACCCAAAAAATAATATCAGCAACGTGAGAGACAGCAAATAAATGGAAAACCAGTAATACAAATATTATGCAAAAGTGTGAAAACATAACATAAATCACTAGCAGTGCTAGACAAAACCCTATTATACTAGCTGGTACAAAGAGGGAAACCGGGACAAAGAGAAAACCGCTGACTACCCCTTAACCTAAAATCCTAATGCTCGACCTCCACACCTTCCTATCAAGAGCCATGTCCTCGAAAATCTAGAGTTGCGCCATGTCCTATCTGATTACTTCGCCCCAATACTTCTTAGGCCGTCATCTACCTCTTCTCGTTCCTGCCAAAGCTAACCACTCACACCTCCTAAACGGGGCATCTAGGCTTCTCCTCTGCACGTGCCCGAACCATCTAAGTCGTGCTTCTGCCATCTTGTCGTCCACTGGAGCCATGCCCACCTTCTCCCGAATATCTTTATTCCTAATCCTATCTAGCCTAGTGTGCTCATACACATCTCAACATTCTCATTTCTACTACTTTCATCTTCTTCTCATTTCTACTACTTTCATCTTCTAGATATGTGAATTCTTGACTGGTCAACACTCAGCCCCATACAACATGGCTGGTCTAACCACCGCTCTATAGAACTTACCTTTGAGTTTTGGTGGCACATTTTTGTCACACAGGACTCCAGACGCTAACCTCCATTTCATCCACCCCACTACGATGCATAAAATCTCCGTCAATCTCCCCATCTCCCTGGATAATTGACAATAAGTATTTAAAATTTTCTCTCTTTAGGATGACCTGTGAGTTAAGCCTCACTTCCACGTCCGCTTCCCCCGTCACGTCGCTGAACTTACATTCCACATATTCCGTCTTAGTCCTACTCAACTTGAAATCTTTAGACTCTAGGGCCTGCCTCCATACCTCCACTCTCTCATTAGCGCCTCGCATCTTATCAATTAGAACTATATCATCAGCGAACAGCATACACCATGGCACCTCTCCTTGAATATGGTGTGTCAGTACGTCCATCGCTAGGGCAAATAATAACGGGCTGAGCACAGATCCTTGGTGTAACCTTATAACCACCGGAAAAGGCTCTGAGTCACCTCCCACAGTCCTAACCCGAGTCATAGCTCCATCATACATATCCTTTATCGCCCTAATATAAGCCACCGGCACACCTTTCACCTCCAGACATATCTAAAGGACATCCCTAGGGACCTTGTAATACGCCTTCTCTAGGTCAATAAACACCATATGCAAATCCCTCTTCCTATCCCTGTATTGTTCCACCAACCTCCTGATAAGGTGGATAGCTTCCATAGTAGAACAACCCGGCATGAACCCGAACTGGTTTTTCGATATAGACACCGCCCTCCTTATCCTCCCTTCCACCACCCTTTCACAAACTTTCATGGTATGACTTAGTAACTTGAGATCCCTATAGTTGTTACAATTCTGGATATCACCTATGTTTTTGTACACCGTAACCATTATACTTAAAGTCGCGGTGACTCTTGGAGTGCCCCAATTTCCCTAACACAATGTTTCCATCCCCCTCTTCATTCAGAAGTTTATGAAAGTACGACTGCCATCTTTTCTTAATCTGGGCCTCTTCCATCAATACTCGACCTTCCTCGTCTTTGATGCACCTCACTTGATCCAGGTCGCAAGCCTTCTTCTATCTTGCTTTGGCCAGCTGAAATAACTTCTTGTCCCCACCTTTTCCCCCAAGTTCCTCATACAGCCGACCAAATGCAGCAGTCTTAGCCTCTGTGACCGCTAATTTTGCCTCCTTCCTAGCCTCCTTATATCTTTCTCTGTTCACTTTCCTCTGATCCTCGTCGGTGATCTCTACTAACTTAAGGTAAGCCGCTTTCTTGGCTTCCACTTTACCTTGGACCACGTCATTGCACCACCAGTTACCTCGGTGCCCGCCAGAGTAACCTTTCGAAACTCCCAACACCTCTCTCGTTGTCTCTCTTATATAGTCCACCGCCACCGTCCACATAACGCGAGTGTCCCCACCACTCTTTCAGGCACCCATAGTCGACCGCCACCCCTCCAACTCCCGCGCATTATCCTTAGACAAAACTCCCCACCTGATCCTCGACTAACCCCGTACAAACCTTTTCTTCCTCTTCATCAAGATACCGACGTCCATCACCAGGAGCCTATGTTGGGTTGCGAGGTTCTCACTCGGGATCACCTTGCAATCCTTGCACAACCCACTATCACACCTCCTGAGGAGGAGATAGTCAATCTGAGTCTTAGCCACCATACTCCGGAAAGTAACCAAATATTCCTCCCTCTTTGGAAACATAGAGTTCATGATCACCAACTCAAAAGCTCACGATCACCGGTGAGGTACGACGCCCGTTCCTATCACCAAAGCCAAAGCCACCGTGCACCTCATCATAGCGACTAGCAGACGACCCAATATGACCATTGAAATCCCCTCCTAGGTGAAATACCCCGCACCACCTCATCTGGCGCCTCCTAGAAGCACCTTTTAATCTCCTCGTCCAAGACCGTTTGCAGCGCGTAAGCGCTAATGACATTCAGAGTGCTCCTTCCAACTACTAACTTAATCGACATCAATCTGTCATTCACCCTCCTAACCTCTACCACCGACTCTCTGAGCTCCCTATCCACCAAAATGCCCACTCCGTTCTTGCCCTTCATGACTCCGGAGAACCACAATTTATACCCATCTGCATTCCTCGCCTTCGATCCTACCCACCTAGTCTCCTACACACACGTAATGCTGACCCTCCTCTTCTGGAGAATCTTCGTCAGCTCTATAGACTTACCCATCAATGTCCATATATTCCACGATCCAATTCTCAACCTACAGGCGCCCTTGTTCCATTTACCCCCTTTGGGCCTCGTCCCACCCCCTGACCCTTACCCTACCCCCTCCCCACCATCTGACCTCCCCGAGGACATGACCCTACTCTGCCATTACAAACCACAGTCTCTATACCTACGTAGGGCTAAAAAAGAAAAAGAAAAAAAACACCACACAGAACAATAAATGAAGCAAATAGTAACTACAAGCCCACTACTAGACTGACTAGACCAGTATGAAATACTACAACAACAAAGTAATTAACACAGGAGACAGAGAAATAGGAGGCGGGAGGTACCAATTCTCGCGAATAGAACCTGGACTTTCGACTTGGTATACTCCCGATGCTGCAGAACCCGGCGCGTAGCTGCTGCTCTACTGCTTATGGGCGTGAACCTCCCTACCTCCACCAAACAGCCACAAAAGTGATACCTGCAAAACCTACAAACAGCCATAGAACCAAGAAAAATACAGGAGGACTGAACTGTCACCGTCACCAGCGACAGAAAAATACGAATCTGGTGACGACACATTTAAAGTCGCCGGACCAGTCTGGTGTCACTGGAGAACAACGACAGTGTCACGAAGCGGCGGCAGAGAAAGGTGTAACAAGGAAGGAGCACCGAAAAGTACAAAGAAGAAGAAAGAAGGGGCGGTGGCGGCGGTGGGTCTACCGCTAGGGTTATGAAAGGTTAGAAGAGACAAAAAAAGGGGGAGAAAGAAAAACGGTGTAGAGAGAGAATAGGGAGAGAGGAGAGGAAGGAGGAGGGTGTGGTGACAAAGAAGAAGAAAGAAGGGGCGGCGACGACGGTGGGATGGTCGCTGGAGAAGATCTGCCGCTAGGGTTATGAAAGGGGAGAAGAGAAAAAAAAGGGGAGAAAGAAAAACGGTGTAGAGAGAGAATAGGGGCAGAGGAGAGGGTGGTGCTTACCTGGCCTGCTCGTCGCCGCCGGCGTTGGATGGATTTGCCGGTGAAGTAGAAGTGACCGTTAAGTTTTGAGAAGAGAGGAGAGAGAGAACAGCTTAAAGGAAAAAAATACTTACTTGTTATAAAATAAAGACTATAAAGTAAAGACAAGTATAGAGAGAAACTGATATATTATTTGAATTCAAACTGATGTACATAATGAACTGAAATCTCTTCTATTTATAGAAGAAAGGAAGCTGCTGTGTAAGCTGCTACTATATCCGATATGGATAATCTTCTACTGAGAGCAATGTTTATCCATAACGGAGTACTGAAAAGATCAGTTTATTATATCCAATATGGATAATCTTCTACCGGGGATAATGTTTATCCATAACTGGGTACTTAAAGGATAAGCTGGTATGGATAATCTTCTACCGGGGATAATATTTATCCATAACTGGGTACTGAAAGGATAAGCTTATTATACCCGGTATGGATAATCTTCTACCGGGGGTAATGTTTATCCATAACTGGGTACTGAAAAGATAAGCTTATTATACCCGGTATGGATAAACTTCTACTGGGGGTAATGTTTATCCATAACCGGGTACCGAAGTGATAAGCTTCTTCAGGAAGCTTATTTCCAATATAGTACTAAATAGATAAACATATTTACGGTGGAGTCCCATATGGATAAGCTTCTTCAGGAAGCTTATTTACAACGGAGTACTAAATGAACATCCATAATATAATATATTTATAACACTCCCCCTTGGATGTTCATTAAAAGATAATGTGCCTCATTAAAACCTTACTAGGAAAAACCACGTGGGAAAAAATCCTAGTGAAGGAAAAAGAGTACACATATTTAGTAATACGCATTGCTAGGTGCCTCATTAAAAACCTTATAAGGAAAACCCCATGGGAAAAAATCTTAGTAAGGGAAAAATAGTGCATCGCGTATTTTACTCCCCCTAATGAAAACCTTGTTTCAAATATTTGAGTCTCCGCATTCCAATCTTGTATACCATCTTCTCAAAAGTTGAAGTTGGCAAAGATTTAGTGAATAAATCTGCTGGATTATTACTTGAATGGATTTGTTGCACATCAATATCACCATTTTTCTGAAGATCATGTGTGTAGAATAATTTTGGTAAAATGTGCTTCATTCTATCTCCTTTTATAAATCCTCTTAATAGGGCTATGCATGAAACATTGTCTCCGTATATTACTGTGGGTCTTTTATCACATTCCAACCCACGTGTTTCTCGAATGAATCACTTATCTCAATCATATGCATTCCCTGCTTGCCGGTTTGAAATCGAGCTTTATGGGTATCAGATAAATAACTTGCATCTGCTTTACCAATACGATCTGCACCACTTTTGTTAGCATTAGCAAGATAAATAAGTGCACCATCTACACTGAGATAGAGTATTTCAGGACCAAGGAGCTCCTCATCCTCTTCTAGAGGTTGGAACGGATCTTTATTCACTTCAAGCGATTGAATATTCATTGGTGTACTTAATGGGTACACTTTGTCCATGTAAAACTATTTTTAAGACCCTCTTGGAGCTCTTCCGGAGTTCCAATAAGATTTATGTCACCAACATAAACAGCAAGTGTAACAAATTTTGATGACATTTTCTTTATAAAAATACATGGACAAATAACATAATTTATGTAACTTTCTTTCAGCAAATATTTACTGAGGCGATTATACCACACGTGCACAGATTGCTTTAAACCGTACAAAGATCTTTATAATTTGATCGAGTACATTTATCAAGACTTTGAATTATATGCTTCGGGCATTTTCAATCCTTCAAGGATCTTCATATAAATTTAGCCATATAACTCATATAGGTTAAGACTTGTATCTAAATGGTATGACATCTTCAAGTGTCTGGACTGCTGGCCCGATCCTCATAATCTTTTATAATATTGTGCACTATATTGTATCAAATATATCGTCGACGATCATTTTGTGTCAGTTCTGAAGAGACATAACTTGTGGAGATCTCATCACTTTCTTTATTTTCAGGGACCTAAATATTTTCGGGAGTTTCATGAAATGTTATGTCGTGGGCTCTTCTAGAGCTTATTTCCTCCTCATTATGATCATTTTGATCATTAGCTCCTACTATTTTTCAAGGATTGTTACCTTTGGAACCGATTGGTCTACCACGCTTCATGCGTACAGTAAACTCTATCCTTCAGGGACTTTAATTTTAATAGGAGCATTTGCAGCTGAAATATGATATTTAATTTTGGATCAGCAAATGCTTCTGGCATTCGACTTGAATTATCTTCTAAGTGAGGATCATGATAATTCGATTCATATAGCATATTTTTCAACTGTTTATTCCTCCCCCAAATGTTAGAAAAACTAACATATATCCCCAATCATCTTTGGGAAACATATCTTTGTGTATTATGGTAGAGAAATTAATCATATACCACACAACAAAAGATAGTAAAAATATTTGGTTTTTGATCCTAAACCAATTGTGAAGGGATGACTTATCATATATTATTGATCTAATGCATACAAGTGCTGCTATATGCAATTTAGAAAATTTTAGACCAACACATGAAGCTTTATTCTCATAAGCAATGATTTAGCCATTAATAGGAGGTATCAATGCTAAACCAGCTTGGATATAAACCAACATTATCAAGATGAACTATCTTGATTTCATAATCTAAAAATTATGCTCTTAATCGAGAAAAGCAATTCCAAATGCCAAACTGCAGGTTGACAATAATTACACATGTAACCATCTCATATATGCACCTATAAGTGGTTCACATGATAGGTGAAC